TAGTCGGATTTACGAACTTGGCCTTGGTGATGACGATGGGAATTTGGAGGAAGATTTCATGAGGTTCACTTTTTAGTGCCAAGTTTTTTCGTTCTCATGGTCAAGAGATTCACTTTCATCTGTTCATGTCGGCGATGAATTGTATTGGTACCTACCAAAGATCGGGCTCGCCATCAGCTGCTTTCTAAGCAGCCCTCGAAAAAGTGAGCAATCAGGAGCCTTTTGCTGCTGGAATGTGCTATCAGTCGGCCTTCCTCCGAGTGCCTTCGCTTCCTGTAGAAATTGAATGCGGCAGGTTTCAACTTTAAATTAAACATGCACCTCTGAATATCAGAATGCAGATTGGATGGTTTCTGAACATCCGCTTAAAATTTCAGCTTCCAAGCTTTCCTGGTTTCCGAGTTAGCCGTCTTCCCCCAAAAAAAAAAATTTCACGGGGCCGTATTTGAGAACCACGCAAGCCTGGGGACTGAATTTGACAGCCTTAAGTTGATGGTAATATTTCAGATGGCGTGAAGGCTTTTGGCCTGTAGTGACAAATGTTTATGGTTGGGAGATTGCTGAAACAGGCTCCGTTCGGCAGTATCGTTTTGAAATTCTGGAAGATCCTTGCGCAAAATTGTTCACTGGTGAATATGGCCGATTGGGATCATTCGAAAAACAGAGACCGTAAATTTTTGCTCCAGAATTTTTATTGGAATGTGCATAAAAGAAAATCATTCATGAATTGAGCCATATCATTTTGAAGGCCTTTTGATCAAAAGAACCCATTCATTGCTACTGTTGGTGTGAATCGTGAGCTTCACGGTGAGAAGAGCGAACGCAGTTGTCGTCATATTGAATTCGTCACCAATGCAGCAAGGATAAGGTCTGCACAGTTTCACTGCACCACATCGTTACAGTTCGTTTTTTTCGGTAAAAAAGTTTTTTTTCGTTTTTTTTTTTCGGTAAAAAAAAAGCTCGCAGTTCGTTTTTTTTTTCGGTAAAAAAATTTTTTTAGGTATGAGACTGGTGATCATTTGGGAGTTTTTCCAACAAACGATCCAAATTTAGTGGACGAATTGGCCAAGCTGATCGGTGTGAATATGGACCTATCTTTTAGCCTCATCAATCTTGACGGTATTTCATCTGCTTTGCTTACTTCGTTCTTTCAATACCTCTTGTTTCGTTGAAAAAAATCAAATCTTTCCGTTGTCAAGGTGCTGGAATATCTTTTTTTTCAATGGATTGTCGAAGCTACATCGTTCTGCAAGTGGATTTCAATGGATTTTCGAATTTACATCGTATAATGCTAACATTTACTGCCTTCTTTCTTCGTACTGCTTGGAGGAAGAATTAGAATCACCGTATTTTCTGTAACTCAAGCAGTAAAATTAGTCATTTGGCCCATTTTATTACTGAAAATAAGCTTATCCCCACGATGATCGCCAGTACCTGGGTAAATTTCACTTCGTCTGCATATAGGCGTAAGTTTTTTCGTTTTTGGGTATGAATAGGTTTTGCTGTTTTTTCGTTTTGAAAACTTGCAAAAAATTTTATTCTCAGTACTTTTTTTTCCACTCTTTTCCCAGTACTTTTCCCACTGTTTCATTGATTCGTGTGTATTTTGTTTTCAGAAGAAAGCTTGAAAAAGAACCCATTTCCATGCCCATGCACAGTGAGGACTGCGCTTACGCATTATGTGGACATTTGTGCTCCTGTTAAATCGCATGTTTTGAGAGCTCTGGCTTCGTTTACAAGCGATGAAACAGAACGAGAACGCCTTCTGCTTCTGAGCACTGCAAATCAACAGGGTCTGGTAAGTTTTTGCAAAAAAATTTTCATAATATTCCCTCAAGTTTTGGCCAGCTAAATCTGTGCCGGCAAATTCGAATATTTTTCTCTATGTACAAGAACTTGCTCTCATCTTTTGTCCTGTATTTTTTTGATTTTTATGCGTTTTGTGCTGTGTAACAGCAGTACAAAACGCATATTGTTACGGGGTTG